AAAAGTCCTCTTGCTCTTTGGCAGGAGTTTTTATTTACTGAAGGAGGACGAGAGTTTGGGGAAGCACATCAAAGGAGCCTTGTGGGAGGCTCCTGGGGAAAAGGAGACGTGAAGAAATGACTGATGGCACAATATCTCAGGCGCCGGTTGTCAGGCAGCTGATGGCCGTGTGGGCACCAGGGTCCAGGGCAGTACGTGGTCTGTGGCGAGCAGAAATAATTCAGTTCCTCAGTTGGGCAGGATGTCACACGTGCCTGCGTTTCACCTGCTTTCCGTGTGCTATTTCATCTATTTAAAGGTTTAGGAGACGAGGTGCCATCCTGCCTCTTGCAGCAGAAGGGCCAGGGAAGGCAGAGAGAGGAGGGACAGGCCGCGGGGACAGTCGGATGGAGAGATGCTCTGTGGTCACGTGGAAAATGAGAGGGGGAGAAGTTCTGCAGCACAATTTCAAGGTTGAGCGAGTGGTGCCAGGAGGCTGCAAAGGCTCTGCCTTAGCTGCTCTGCTTTGGCAAGGAGTGGGGAGAGGGGAGGTCATGGCACCTGGCTCAAAAAAAAACCAAAAAAACCCAAGTTTTCCCAGTAATGAGCCTGTGGAGAAAAGCTGGGAGAGCAGGGAGCTTATCCCAGTCCTCCTGCTACCACCGTGCTCCCTGCCTTGAAGGGTTGGCACTAATTGTGGTGGCCTCCCATCCCAATGGCGACTGGCAGCATCCCCCTGCTCACAGCTCATCGCTTCATTTTAAAAAAAAAAACAAACTAAAACTTTCTTTTTTTTTTCTTTTTCCCCACCTACAAGCTTGTTAAAAGGCAATTGCAGGGGTGCATCCCCCGCAGGCTGTGTCTCCTTGTTGCTGGGCAAGGAAGAACCTCATGAGGTTCAACAGGGAAAAGTGTAGGGTCCTGCACCTGGGGAAGAAGAATGTCAGGCACCAGTACAGGTTAGGGGTGGACCTGCTGGAGACAACTTCTGAAGAGAAAGATCTAGGGGTCCTGGTGGACAGCAAAATGACAATGAGCAAACAGTGTGCTCTTGAGGCCAGGAGGGCCAATGGGATCCTGGGCTGCAGAGGGAAGAGTGTGGCCAGCAGGTCAAGGGAGGTCATTCTCCCCCTCTGCTCTGCACTGGTGAGGCCACAACTGGAATCCTGCGTCCAGTTCTGGGCTCCCCAGTTCAAGAGGGACAGGGAACTGCTGGAAAGAGTCCAGCGAAGGGCTACAAAGATGATTCAAGGATTGGAGCATCTCCCTTATGAAGAAAGACTGAGAGAGCTGAGACTCTTTAGTCTGGAGAAGAGAAGGCTGAGGGGAGACCTTATCAATGCTGACAAGGATCTCAAGGGTGGGTTGAAGGAGGAGGGAGCCAGACTCTTTTCAGTGGTTCCCACTGAGAGGACGAGGGGCAACGGGCACAAGTTGGAACATAAGAGGTTCCACTCAAATATGAGGAAAAGCTTCTTCATAGTGAGGGTGGCAGAGCCCTGGGACAGGCTGCCCAGGGAGGGTGTGGAGTCCCCTTCTCTGGAGATCTTCAAGCCCCGCCTGGATGCTCCTGAGTAACATGCTCTGACAAGCTCTAGGCAATCCTGCTTCAGCAGGGGAGTTGGACTAGATGATCTCTATGGTCCCTTCCAACTCTAAAAATTCAGTGAAATTCCTTCAAACAGACCCTTGGGGAACATCAGCTCCATAAGTTGGTTTGGGGTCCAGGCTGCATGGGCCTGTAGCTGTTGCTGGCTGGTTGATGCCAAGCGTTGTGAACCTAAAGGGGGGGTGAAATCCCAGCAGTCCTCCCCGACTCCGCCATGGGAAAGGCAACGTACAGCCTGGGCTCCACTGGAAATGGGGCCAGGAGTCCAAGCTGGACCCACGGACCAGGAGGAACTGGCTTTGTTTGAGCTGACTGATGTAAAATGAGGGTGACAAGCCCTCGAACTGGCCAGGGTGGGAGAGAGCTGCAGCGTGAAGCCACGGCACAGGATGGGGGCAGTGATTAAGCAGGGGAGAGACGCGCTTTTATTTAAATAGAAACACTGCCCTGAATTCATCATGAGAGTCATTAAGTGAGACATCACTTGTGCAAAGTCAGAGCGGCTCCAGCCACCAACCAGGCCTGGAACGTGCCTTCAAATCACTCCACGTACAGTTTTTGCTTTGGTTTCTCTTCCCCCTTTTTTTGCTGTTCCTTCCCTTAATGAATTCCCTGATTTTATGGACCTGGCCAGGAGGTATCCTGGCTGCTTTGTGCCATGGGAGGGGATGAGGAGCCCAGGGAGGGAGAAACCACCCGGGATGGCATGGGCTCATCTCAGGAGGATGCTCAGAGCCCCCCACCAGTAACACCTTTAAACTTCTTGCCATCTGCAACTTCCCAACAAGCTCAGCTACTGAGGGCAAATCCTTAGCAAACCCAGTCACGATGGGAGGAGAGTATTTGCCACCCCCTTCCCTAACTGCAGGCAGCTCATCCAACTCAGCTGTGTGTCAGGGACTTCTGTTTTTAAGCCCAAACGAGCTGCAGGTGTTCCAGGGCTGGGTCTGATGTGAAAAAGCCCCCACCTGCAGCTTAACCAGGTTTAGGGGGGAATCCATCACCCTGGGGGGCTCCCCAGAGCTGGGGGAAGCCACTACAGAGCCCCCCCTCCTCAGGGCTGAGTTAAGGGGGCTGGGAGCAGACCTCTGCCCAATTCCGATCAATCAGCTGTGGTAATTGCATAATTAGCAGAAGCTGCTCAAGAGAGGTAAAGGCTTAATTAGCCCCTCCTGTTCCTGCAGAGGCATTTGCTCAGGGCTGCTCCAGGAGGAGGGATGCTAAAGGTGAGTGGAACTTCTTTAGTGTTTTAATTAAAGCTGCTGGGGATCAGGTCTGGTGGGGAAGGTAAAGCTCCTCCAAACCCAAAGTGGTGGGAGGCTTTTGTGTGTTCTGTGCAACAGGGCAGGACCCAAAATCTCTGGCTTTTCAGGGGCTGGGGGACACGGAATGTTGTTGGGGGCAACATGTGTGGGGATTGGTGTCACCGAGAGCTGCTTTCTGCACCTTTGTTGCTCCTAAGAAATGAGATGAGGTGGCGGGATATGGTTGCCTTCCCTAAACTTGCTTGTAGGGAAGGCTTGGAGTGGAGGTAGGGATTTGTCCTGAGTTGTTCTGCTGGGTTTAGGAAAACTGGGAGGGCTCGGAGAGGGAGGTGGCAAGAGCTGGGTTGGGTAGAAGGTTGGGTAGAAACCTTCAAGTATTTGAAGGGAAGCCTACAGGAGAGCTGGAGAGAGACTTTTTGTCAGGAAGTGTAGTGACAGGACAAGGGATAATGGTTTTAAATTAGAAGAGTGGAGATTTAGATGAGATATTAGGAAGAAATTCTTTGCTGTGAGGGTGGTGAGACCCTGAAACAGGTTGCCCAGAGAAGTTGTGGCTGCCCCATCCCTGGAGGTGTCCAAGACCAGGCTGGATGGGGCTTGGAGCAACCTGGTCTGGTGGGAGGTGTCCCTGCCCAGGGCAGGGGGTTGGAATGAGATATCTTTAAGATCTCTTCCAACTAACCATTTTATGGAATGTGCATGGGCAGCACGGTGAAGGTATCACTGTGTCTGTGGATATGGAGGCTCGGAGTGCCCCAGGGAGAGGAGTGAGGGCTGGTGCAGCTCTCCTGGCATGCCTGCCAGCACCCTGCCCGTATCACTTTCCTCCTCTGCCCTCTCATCTATCGCACCCTGGAGGGCTCATCTATGATTTACGTGCTCCCTGGGCCTGCCAGCCGCTCCGCCACACAGCTCAGGAAAAGAATAATATTGATGCTAACAAAAAAAAATTAAATAATATATATATATATATAAAAATAATTAAAACCAAAGAGGCTGAGTTAAACTTCCCTTGGCCAATGCCTGCCTCGGGCTGAAGTTGCATTTGAAGAGGTCTTAGGGGGTGAACTTGGGATTTATTTATTTTTTGGGGAGGATGAGGATGACAAACACCCCCGGGAATCCCGGGGAGGGGGGCTGTTGGGTGGAAGTCGGGGCTGAAATACCGGTTACCTGGGTAAGGGGCGCTGCGCCGCCTCTCGTTCTCCTTCCCCTCCCCTTCCTCCTCCTCCTCCTCCTCCCGCCGCGGCTCATTCGGCTGGCGGGGCCGAGGGGAGGTGACATGGGGGGTCGCCGCTGACAGCGCCACAGGTAATGTCCAAATAGGTCATTTCTAGGGTCATAACCCCAAACCAGGACTTCAAAAATGCTGTGAGGCAAAGGTTTCCTCAGATACAAACCTCAGAAATAAGTGTCTTCAGCTCCATAGCGAACACACCCAGGGATAGTCCTGTATAAGCTCAGCTCAACTAGATCCTCCTCGGGAGCTGTAAGCGTTGTCTATCTGATGATCCTGGGGACACTCTTTCTGTAGGAACTCCCTCCACCCAAATAAAATAAAAAAAAAATAATATATATATATATAAAAATAATTAAAACCAAGCACTTTCCTCCTCTGCCCTCTCAGCTATCACACCCTGGAGCACTCATCTATGATTTACGTGCTCCCCGGGCCTGCCAGCCGCTCCGCCACACAGCTCAGGAAAAGAATAATATTAATGCTAACAAAAAATAAAAAAATAATATATATATATATAAAAATAATTAAAACCAAAGAGGCTGAGTTAAACTTCCCTTGGCCAACGCCTGCCTCGGGCTGAAGTTGTATTTGAAGAGGTCTTAGGGGTGAACTGGGGATTTATTTATTTTTTGGGGAGGATGAGGATGACAAACACCCCCGGGAATCCCGGGGAGGGGGGCTGTTGGGTGGAAGTCGGGGCTGAAATACCGGTTACCTGGGTAAGGGGCGCTGCGCCGCCTCTCGTTCTCCTTCCCCTCCCCTTCCTCCTCCTCCTCCTCCTCCCGCCGCGGCTCATTCGGCTGGCGGGGCCGAGGGGAGGTGACATGGGGGGTCGCCGCTGACAGCGCCACAGGTAATGTCCCCTCGAGTTTGCCTTATTTTGCCTTTAATTAAAGGGGGAGTTGGTGTTGGGGAAGGGGGGAGTCTGTGCGCGGAGAATGCGCGGAGCCTCGGGCATCTCCCCCCCGCCCAGGGGTGGCTTTGCGCGCCTTCCTCCTTCCCAAATCTGCTTCCACCGAGGGGACAACTTCTTCGGGGTGAGCCACCATCCTCCTCGTTATTATTCTTAATTATTTTTTTTTGTGTGTGGGTCGGGTGGGCGTTCAGCGCGGTATTTTCAGCGGCAGGAGGCGGGAATCCCAACCTTTTAGGAAAAAAAAAATAAAAATATCGTAATAACGTGTGTTGGTGTCTGCTGTCCTGAGATTAAAAAAAGTGTCCCCACTCCCCTCAACCCCATCCTGGGTTGTAATTTGGAGTGAAGCTGCAAAGTTTCTCGGGAGAGCCAGGGTTGAACTTCTTCAAAGGCGCAGGGGATGCTGCTGCCGAGAGGGCTGCCAGCAAAGAGGGGGTTTTAGGTGGGTTTGTTATGTTTTGTTGGGTTGTTGTTTTTTTTAATCCCCTCAAAAACATATTAAATGGGGAAAACAGCTCTTCAAATATTCCAAATTTGCACGGAATGGTTTCTTTCTATTCCTTGAGAAAACACTTTATTTGCGATTTTTCTTTGCTTCTCTTTACCTTCATCCCTGACAAACCCCGCAATCCTCTTTTATTGAAATAAATATTTTCCTGACCCCTGCACACATCCAACTTGACGTTGGCCAGACATCTTTAGCTTTGAACCCCTTGGAGTTGTCACCGGAGCCTTTATTGTAAGAAAATGCTCAAACTTCAAGGGTCTGGTCCTTATTAAAACCGGCCAACTAAATTACATTACTCTTCCTTTTAACTCATGGAGTTTGGGGTGTTTTGGCTGTAAGATTTTCGTGGCAGGGATAGGTTTTTTCCCCCCCCCCCGATGCTGTTCTTCAGTTTGATCTACTCGGTGCCAGCCCCTTTGTTCTATCCAGGATTTTTTGGATGCTACATGGAGGGAAATAACATCCCCTGCCCGCTTGTAATTGGGAGTACAGGTGTGGGGCTTCGTTGCTGGTATTTAATTGGGAAAATACAAAATCTGGGGTGTGGGGAGTAAAGACCTACCTGGGAGGGGGGGGCGCGGAAAAATTAAAAAAAAAAAAAAAAGAAAAAAAAAAAAAAAAGGAGGAAAAAAGGGGAAAAAAAAAAAGAGAAAAGAGGAAAAAAAAAAATAGAAGGAAAAGCAGATCTAGTATAGCTTTTTTGGCCAGATGAAGGAATGATGTGGAAGGTGAGGTGATGTGCTGCCCATGGGCAGGTGAATAGAGGAGCTGACTGAGGTGGGGGCAAAACCTGGGGCTCTTCTACAGGACCCCTGTGTGGGAAGGACAAATCCCAAACCAGTCCTGTGTCAGGGATGCCCCGGGGTTGCTGTGAGCCCCCTCTTGCCAACCACTATTGTTTCCCCCAAGCTGCTTCTCCTCTCTTATCCCCCAGTCTTTTCTTTGGGGTGGGGGGTGTGTGTTTGTGATGCTGGAATGGGAAGTTTTCTATGCTGGTGTGTGTTTTTATGTTGGTGTTTGTTGGTGTTTGGTTTTCCCCCCCCTTGGTTTGGGGAGGGAAAAGCCCTGTCTGGTGGCAGATCCCCCCGGGTGCCTGATGTTGAGGGATTTGGGGGGCTGACCCAACAAGCCTGGGGTCTTCCCAGAGCATCCTGCAGCAGCCTGGGATACCTCATGTGTGTGTGGCCTCGGGGCATGATAGGATAAAGCTGGTGAATTAATAGTATTTATTTATTGATGGAGCAAGGTATTCCGATGGGGAACTCACATCTGTCAAAATCCAGTTGGATGTTTTAGGAGGGGGGGTGTGGAGTTTTATCTTTGTCTCTCCCCCTCCCCTGGAGGAGGGGAAATCCCTTCACAATTCCATTTATTTTTTTTTCTCCTCCACCCCCCTCCCTCCCTCCCCCAGTGCAAATCTCTCCCATTTTGGGAGGCAAACTGTGGGTCTTGCAGCACCCAGTTGAGATAACGCCGTGAAGATACAATGTTTGGTTTTAAGACCAAGTTGTAAGACACTCCCTTTATGGGAAACTGTAAAAATTGATGTTCTCCTTTATTTTTTTAATTTTTTTTTCGATAAGTGGGTGAAACAATGTTTGCAAAATGTGGGAGTTTGGCTGTTGCTGGGCTTGGGAAGGGCGTTCAGCCCATGTGGAAAGAGGCTTTGTGTCCCCATGGGGGGCATCACCTGAAAATAGCAGGGGGATGGAGCACCCGAAATGTTTTCTGCTGCCCAGATGTGATAATCTAGAATAAAATCCACGGTATGGCATCTTCTCTTCTGACCCAACGCAGGGATGCAAAGAGAAAGGGCACCGCCATCCCTTTCCGGGGAGTATCTGGGGGTGGTGAGGACATCTTAAAAAGGATTTGATTTATGAAGTTTCTTCGAGGTCTTGCGCAGATGGTCCGGAGCACGGATTATTTTTAAATTTAAGAAGCTTTAAGGAGATGGGATTGGCTTGACGAGGGGGTGGCCTGTGGCCTCTTGTTAGGGTGTAAAACATCCCAGCTGCTCGCAGTTGGGCTAATTGAGCTGGAGGTTTGCTTTGTGAGCATAAATAGTTCAAAGCACATCCCAAAACTCTGTGGTTATTTTTTTTTTTTTCCCCACTATGGTGTCCTGCTTCCTGTAGTATGACTTTTAATATGAGGGTTAGTTTGGGGTTTTTAAGGCCTAAGAGCTACAAATACTAAAATTTGTGCTTGCGGTGCAGTCGGACCAGGTTCTGCAGCTGAAATGGGGAATTCTGGTGGTTAAGACTCAGCCAAATCTTGTAGATGTCCTGGATCTTGCCCATGGTTTGGCAATGACCAGGAGGCTATAGCTGGGGGGGCTGGAATAGCATTTATGCACAGGCTGTGCCAGGCAGCATGCCCAGCTCAAAGCTTCCATCCATGGGGGCAGTGGCCGTGGAGCCTGGTGGCTCCAAAGCTTTGGCAGTGGAGCCTGGTGGCTTTCAGGTCATGAAGATGTTAGCATGGGGCTCTGCTGGGTGCTTGCTGACTATGGGCTGTCCCATAAACGACCAGAAGAACCATCCTGTGGCCACATCTTTGATTTTTTTCTGCTAGGCAGAAGCATCTGCTTGAATCCCTGCCCTGGGGGCTGAGGACCTTGCTGGATGTGTCTTGTGATGGAAAGTCCCATCTGGCCGTGGGAGGGCTGTAATGTCCCCTCCCCAGCCTCTACCAGAGCCAACGTTGCAGTGGGGCTTTTTTCCATCCTTAGCCTGAATTGCTTTGCCCTGATCTGTGCATTTGATGTAAGGGGGGTTCTGCAGGGGTGAAAGATCTCCTGCTTGGGGTATGCTGGGGAGAAAGTCTCTGGGGGCAAAATCCTGATGGCAACAGGGGAGAAGCTGGTGTTTGGGATGCTGCAGCTTTGAAAAGGACATGTAGGAGAGGGACTGGACAGCTTAGAGGGTCCTCAGCCATGGCTGAGCTTCCTAGGAGGGCTTGCATGAACAAGCCTGTCCCTGCTGATGAACTACTGTCATTAATCTAAAACTTCACCTCTGCTGAAAACCTTTGCCTTCCAGTTTGACCCCCTGCTCCTGGGGAGCTGCTGGTTGGGATTGAGGTATTTTGGGGAGAGGTTCCTCGCAAGTAGCCCCATCTTCCTTTCCCCCTGGGCTGTCTCTACTGCTGAATATATTTTACTTATTTTTTTTATTACCTCCTCCTCCTAAAATTTCAGCTGGCGAGTGATTAGCCGCAGAGTGCCCATGGTGTTACTAAAAAAAAAAAAAAAAAAAGCCTGGCTTTTATTATGGGCTGGAACAGCCAGTGGGCCTTGAAAAGGTCTGTGCCTGCAAAGTGCCTCTCGCTGGAAGTTAAGTGAGCTTTGTGCGAAAGCAGCAAGGACACTTCTCTCTTGATTTGGACGAGGCAAGAAACGGCCTGAGAGCTTTTGCAGCTCAGGTTGCTCAGTGTGAGGATGGCTTGTGTTTTTTTGGCTTTGGGTTGTTTTTTTTCCTCCTCCAAAACACCTCTTTTTCTCTCTTTTTTTTTTTTTTTTTTGAGCTCTACCTTTCCAGCCTTGCAGTTTGAATCACCAGATAAATGAACAAATTAGCCTTGTTGCTTCTTTTTAGTGATGCAAACCATCCAGCTCCTGGACCCCTACAGTTCCTTTTAGTTTTAAGGAATATTCTGGTTCTTTTGGGATTCAGTGTTTTTTTCCCTCTTTTTTTTTTTTTTTTTTTGAGCGCTACCTTTCCAGCCTTGCAGTTTGAATCACCAGATAAATGAACAAATTAGCCTTGTTGCTTCTTTTTAGTGATGCAAACCATCCAGCCTGGAGCTCACCAAGAGCTGGAAGCAGGGAGATGGGATTATATCCCAGGTGTGCACGTACCAGGGGGTCCTGTGCTGACGGGGGCTTGGAACGGTGTCTGCCCACATCACTGTTTGCCAGGGAAGATGAAGTGAAATAACTAACCCGTCGTCTTTTGGCAGGGCTTCAAAATGTAGTTTGGGCTACTGATTGCCAAGAGCTCCTGGTCCTGTGCCTGATGGCTTGCTCTTGAAGTTGATGATGGGGTGGGATTTTTTTTTGTGGTTTCTTTTTTTATTGCATTGCTCGCAGTATTATGGGTGTACTTTTTCTTTATAGTGTGCTTCTTCCTGGTGTTGCAAAAAGGCAGTTCTCCCTTTTCAAAGCTGCCCCCCGAGGTGTGACAGGGAGGAAGGTGCCCTGTTGGCCACCGTGGCAAGTGCCCAGCCATGCCCAACCCCTGGTTTTGCTCCAGCCCGAGCCACAGGGCTTGAGCAACAGCCATCTACTATGTGTCTACCGTGTGTAAATTGAATGAGCAATATTTAGATACACATGGGGTTTTTTTCTTTAATTCTATTTCACAGATGTCCTCAGGTGTGGTTTTTCTTTTCTTGAAAAATAAATAACAAAACCCAAACCAAACAGAAGGAGTGTGTTTGCATCTGAAGCAGGAGTGCCCTGGGGTATGTGAGCATGGGCTGTGTGGCAGTGCTACAAACTCGCTCAAAAACCTCCTGTGGGAGCCCTGTTGGATGTTGGATGCTTCTCTTACATCGTTTTGATAGTGGGGCTTGGAAGTCCAGCCAGGCTGCTGCCTGGCCTTGGTCGG